ATGCACACAGATTGGCCTATGTGACCACATGCTTTCCATGCAACACAGATTGGCCTATGTGACCACATGCTTTCCATGCAACACAGATTGGCCTATGTGACCACATGCTTTCCATGCAAACACAGATTGGCTTATGTGACCACATGCTTTCCATGCAACACAGATTGGCTTATGTGACCACATGCTTTCCATGCAACACAGATTGGCCTATGTGACCACATGCTTTCCATGCAACACAGATTGGCCTATGTGACCACATGCTTTCCATGCAACACAGATTGGCCTATGTGACCACATGCTTTCCATGCAACACAGATTGGCCTATGTGACCACATGCTTTCCATGCAAACACAGATTGGCCTATGTGACCACATGCTTTCCATGCAACACAGATTGGCCTATGTGACCACATGTTTTTCATGCGACCACTGATTGACTTATCTGACCATATGTTGTTGATGCCACAACGGACTGCCTTATGTGACACTTGTTGTCCATGTGAACACAGATTGACTTATCTGACCACATGTTCTCCACGCAACCACATATATATGTGAATACAGGTTGTCAAAACACAGCTAAAAATTGATTTTTGAATATAATAATTTGAAAAATAAAAGATACATACTTTGTCAATGTAGGGTAGGTGTCAGAGCATCCTTTATTATCAGTATTGATTAATTCAGGTACTGCTACAGTTGCTATGGTTTCAATAGACTCAAAAACATCATTAGAGTATGACATGTGCATCCTGTAAAGATACATCAATTGATATATAGCAACCCATTACATCGGATATTTACATAGACCTAACTCCCGCACCAGGTAGGCAATTACTGAGGGACTTTACAACATCAAAATTTCCAAAGAATTGTGTCGATACAACACAGCATTCTGATAGTTAATAATAGACTTGACCTATTAGGTCGTTGTTGCAGGTCAAATCATGAAAGAAAACATCATGGCAGAAGGTGCTTTTTATCGAGAGTTTGCGTACGATCCAACACATTTGACAATGAAGATTTTGACTGATGGTGAATTAAAATTGTCATTTTCACTCTTTTCCTGAGGGGTAAGTGCCCACCCCTAAAAAAATCATGATTTTCTGAGTTGAGGACACTGGGCCCTAACGCGATTGAGTATTGTACATACAAAGTATATGCATATTAACTACATTTTCTAATATTACACAGTCAGATAATTTAATTATAAAACTTCATTATTAAAATAATAATAGAACTGCTGGTTGCTGTCAGTTACATTGTTGCATATTTGGCTGAGTCAGGTAACATCCATGGCAAAGTGGAGAGAGTCCTTAGACCAGCTACTGGCAATAGGACATTTATTTATTTGTACAATGTATCTACAAATTGAAAGACATATTAGGTTACTATCCTTACTTCAATATAACTTGTAGATTTTCATTGTGTTTTGATCCTTTCTCTTTTTCACCATCAGCAGCAAACCATTCACGCTTCAACAGAGATACAGACAGGGCAGCTGAAAATCATAAAACTCAGATTCAAATCATGGTATACATAAAACATAGATTCAAATCATGGTATACATAAAACATAGATTCAAATCATGGTATACTTAAAACATAGATTCAAATCATGGTATACATAAAACATAGATTCAAATCATGGTATACATAAAACATTGATTCAAATCATGGTATACATAAAACATAGATTCAAATCATGGTATACATAAAACATAGATTCAAATCATGGTATACTTTATATATTTACATATGTCATATACATACATATATCGGTAATAAATATTCTAATATCAGAAATACTGACATGATGTAAAAGTCTAGTAATTAATTAGTCTGGTAAAACTTGTCTGAATAATGTCTTACTGCAAAATATTATCAAGACATTACTGAACTGTAATTATCAAAACATATCAATTTAATTAAGATATGCATTAATAATACGCATTACACACACACAAAAAAAAGAAACCAAACTCACCAATTTTTTCATTGAACTCCTCAGTATCAGTCCTTTCACTTAATGCCACCAGTAATTTAATCAAAGTCACAGCACTTGTAAGATTTGGTACAGTGGATGAGAAGTTCTCCAAATAATTAAATGATTGTCTGAAACAAAATTAATTGAGATACTTTCATTTTTAAAGTATAATCTGTGCAGCTCCCATAATAAAATACAGCAACCCAAAAATACGAGTATACAGTATTTTACGAGATTCAAACCTGTATGATCATGTGTGTTCAATGACAGCATTCCAGATGTTGCTAGTTTCAACACTGTGAAAACATAGTAGTAGTATCATTACATACCTTAGAATTTCTTGGAAATTACTCTGTGATGGACCAGTTACTTTAATGCGGGTTGATAAAATAGTAAGTGCTTTCTTGAGTAGATTTTTATTCTCACTCAACACAAACCCACTCCTGAAAGAGGAAACATTGCACTGCTATAGAAGATTAAATATTCCATGGATTGCACAAATATTCACTTGAATATAAATTTACAGGGTTGAAAAGAAAACAATACACATACAAAGATTAGCTTTGCATATTCATTACGTATAAATTTGAGATAGTAAATAGACCATGTTCTATTCACTATCTCAAATTTAAATGATCCTGCGTTATGTGTAAAATCGAATGTAAGAACAGGACAAACAAATGTCATAGCATCGTAGTGGCATCAAACATCGCGTGGGATTCAACAAACGCGAAGTATTTTGGGGGGTGTACACATTTGATGGTGGTCAATTTCAATGAAGTAAGAGTATCTAAACGCAATATTTCCCAGTCAAGGATTGGCCTTCGAATTTGAGCTATGAAAATAGAAATTCGAGTTCAAAATCAAATCGTTCGCAATACGCGAGTTTCTGCAGTTGAACGGAAAATCAGCTATTAGAGGGCGGTAGTCATGTACTGCACTGTGTTCAATATGAGACCCATAGTACTATGTATTTCACCTTTGACCCTAGACCCTATGTCCTACCTCACACTAAGATGTAGTAATATGAATTACAGTGGTGGTCTTAATTTTGAATAATGGGACATTGGAAACTTGATGGCCTAGAATATACTTAGAATTAAATTTTATTATTCCACATAATGAGTATCACTGTCAATTTTTAAAAAAAACAATAATTCAGCCTGACTATGGGAGTAAGTAAACACTTAATCTATAACACTGAGAAAGGATAATTATGATATTTAAAACAATGTTTCAGTCATTCATTCATCCACTCAGTCACTTACCATGAGAATAATGACATCAATGCTTGTAATAAAAGTTGAAAACATTTTGACATCAGTTGAGATTCATCAGTAAACATTCCTGGCCCATCTAATAAACCATCATTATCAGCTATTATCGCCTAGAGCAAACAGTAAACCATCAATATCAGCTATTATCAAATAGGGCAAGCAGTAAACTGTCATTATCAGCTATTATCAAATAGGGCAAGCAGTAAACTGTCATTATCAGCTATTATCAAATAGGGCAATCAGTAAATTGTCATTATCAGCTATTATCAAATAGGGCAAGCAGTAAACTGTCATTATCAGCTATTATCAAATAGGGCAATCAGTAAATTGTCATTATCAGCTATTATCAAATAGGGCAAGCAGTAAACTGTCATTATCAGCTATTATCAAATAGGGCAAGCAGTAAACTGTCATTATCAGCTATTATCAAATAGGGCAAGCAGTAAACTGTCATGATCAGCTATTATCAAATAGGGCAAGCAGTAAACTGTCATTATCAGCTATTATCAAATAGGGCAAGCAGTAAACTGTCATTATCAGCTATTATCAAATAAGGCAATCAGTAAACTGTCATTATCAGCTATTATCAAATAGGGCAAGCAGTAAACTGTCATTATCAGCTATTATCAAATAGGGCAAGCAGTAAACTGTCATGATCAGCTATTATCAAATAGGGCAATCAGTAAACTGTCATGATCAGCTATTATCAAATAGGGCAAGCAGTAAACTGTCATTATCAGCTATTATCAAATAGGGCAAACAGTAAACTGTCATTATCAGCTATTATCAAATAGGGCAATCAGTAAACTGTCATTATCAGCTATTGTCAAATAGGGCAAGCAGTAAACTGTCATTATCAGCTATTATTGCCTAGAGCAAACAGTAAATCATCAATATCAGCTATTATCAAATAGGACAAGCAGTAAA